TCTATAATTGTGCGGTATAATTGTTCCATGGCAGATGATTTCAGACGACATATCTTAGGACAAATAATATCATAGAAAAATGATCTCAGAATGCAACGTGGTGTCCACATCGTTTCACAAAGTACAATACACTATGTGAACGATTGGCTTCTATAATCGATAAATCAATCGAATCGGTAATTGTACTGTCACATACAATCCCTAACTACAAGTGCCCCTTACACTATTTGACCTTGAAGAATCTCACACACGCATTGACATAGAAGTACCACATTCACTCCCTTATCTTATAGGATTACCTACACTCACCGACCTCGAAGTACCACATACACTCGGTGACCTTGAAGAATCACCTCAACCCACGACCTAGAAATACTGCCTATACTCATAAGTGTGACCTGTCAATATTACGTTTATTTAGTTGCTGAATATATCTGACCGTTTCTTTAACATCAACAGCCAATATAAATCCCCCCACCTTTAATAAAATGTGCATAAACGGTATCTATACAACGGAATTTTTATCAGTTAAACACCTTGTTTTGTTAGCAATAGTACGCAGTAAGTAATCTTTATAATACATTTTTGTATGGGTGATATTGAATTTATTACTACGTATATATTTTTCTATGCAATAGTAATTATTGTTTATTATTGTTTTATTGCAGCTTTTTAAAATGAAGGTCGTTGTTCTGCTACTTTTAGTATGTCTCTCCAATTTTATTGTTCTAACAGAAAGGTAGGTAAATAAAGTCTAACAAATAATGCTGAAATAATATAATTATGTAATATGTTAAATTTAATTTAAATATTATATATATATATATATATATATATATATATAAAATCATAATATATATATATATATATATATATATATATATATATATATATATATATATATATATATATATATATATATATATATATATATATAATGAACGGTTTACTAACAAAAATTGTTGGGTTTTCTTGAGTTTTTGAAATTTTCAAGATAGTGAAATTATTTATCATAGTAAACAAAATTCAGAAGTTGTTATAACTAGTAAAGTAAGTTGCTTTTGTAAGTAACAATTTGCTATCTTATTATATAAATAAACTATATTAATGGTTTTTTTTGTCTTCTCTATCAAACAGCTGTTGTAAAGAAAGTGGTGAAAAATGTTATGCAAACTGGCAATGTTGCGAACACACGTTTTGCTTAATACATCAGTAATACATTTTTTTTATTTTTTAAAATAATTTATACATATATTCTTTATAAAAAAGAATTATAAATATTACTATAGAGTTAAGCTTTTGAATTCACAGAAAATAGAAACACGTTTTTCTTGGTTAATAAAAGTATTGGTGTGTAGACAGTTTATTTAATAACATCGTTCGGGGGTAACTTGGCATTAATAGGGTTGCTGCAAAACTATATTATAGCTGTTTTGCTCGACAACCTTTGTTAAAAAATAACTGTTGTACGTTTTTGCGATAGTATATAAAAGTTCATAGCAGTTTGACAAACCTTCAAATGACTTCAAATGACTCACATTAATTATAGGTCCCCATAGAATCGACGACAAATGAACCAGAATTTGTTTATACATTTGCATAATACCATTGCGGCTTGACCGAAAGTTTTCACACTTTCGCATAATACCACTGCGGCTTGACCGACAAAATGTCGAGAAATGGGAAAAGTGCGAATTTTTAATCAGGTTAATTAATCGTTTTAATTTTTTTTCTTTTCTAGAGATTCAGCACTTTCACAATGCTATCGTCAAAATAACAAGTAAAGTATGTTAGAGAGAACCGAACTATCAAACCACTGTTCGTGTTTTTTGTGTTTGATTTTTTTTATTAAAAACAAAATTTAAATGAATACATTTGTGTGTTGTATTGTCAACTGGATTGTGTTTAAACGTCAGCATATTGCATAACGTATTAGGCAGATTGTCATGTTTGTTTGTGTGCTGCGTGGTCCCAAGTGATAGCGAGTGAATGCAAATCCATAAGTCCTGGGCAGAGTTGGCTTAATAGCCTGGTGCATGGAACCATCTAGAAGAGAAAAATCCAAATAAAACAAATTCTGCCTTGTATATTGACTTTTTTTTGACAAAGAATGTGTAAGTAAATCTGAAGGCTGAAGTAGGAGTAAAGTAACATTTCATTATGCATAGCTTAACTTAATTAAGCTGCAGAAAATCTACATCAGCTTCGAACATTCGCTCCCATAACCTAGACCTGTGTTATTTATTCCTCCACACATATTAACAATCAATGCAAACCACATTACCCCAGTATTTTCAATATTCATGGCATATGATTACTGTCATATACTACAGAACCCCAACGTACAGAAAACCACGCCTCCTCTATTGATCTCGTTACTCGTCGCGTGGGTGTGTGGTAGACTGTTGTCCCAAACGTCTCGAGTTCGAATCTCGGAAAAAATGTGAAGGAAGTCACGCAATGTTCTAATCATTGTATGCAATGTACAAGAAACAGTTGAACACTAGGCCTACTTCCTCTAGCCTCTCTCTCTCTCTCTCTCTCTCTCTCTCTCTTTTTCTCTCTCGCTCTCTCTGGTTTTATTATTTATTATACAAAAACACAGCAGCATAATCCAAGATACAATGTAATTTTTGACAAGTCCATACCAATTATTTTACTAATATATAATTGATCTTTTTTTTTAATGTGAGGAAATGTTTTGCCATACACACATTGTGTTAAAATCACAACAACCATTTCCCATTACTATATTTATACAAGCTATCCGTATTTCATAAAATTACCCCTACACGTTATATACTTACATACCATTTTATCGCACCCTCGGCTTAGCACAAATTCCATAACAACCTCTTTAAAATGTTATTCGTTTCAAGTTAAGCATTCCATGTCTGCAGGGGAAAAAATTATACAAAACCTAACTTACATCAAACCCTCCGAAAATCACATCCTCCTCTTGATAGATGCATCCTGATTAAAAACTTCATCACACTTACTTCTAGAATTAGAAAACGACACGAAATAAAGGTAACTGAAGATTATAATGCAGTGTATGGGACGGCGTGCCCTAGGGGCAGAGAGCTAGACTGCTAACCCAAAAGTCTCGAGCTCTGATGGGTGCCAAACTCATAGTAAAGCCAAGGTGGCTTGGCATACTTCTTACCACATCCTAATTTACAGAAGCCTTTGTGTGCACTTCTCTCTCTCTCTCTCTCTCTCTCTCTCTCTCTCTCTGTCGCTCTCTTTATCTCCGCAAAATATTTACACAAGCTATGAGATCAATATCTTCAGCAATATATGGTGGGTGTTTTAAATGAATAAACTAAATTTTATTTTGTGAAAGAAAATAAAAATAAAGGCATATTCGAATGTAGAAAAACACTTTTAATTATGCAACCGGAAAAGTGTTAATGGTTGTGACAAGAACGCAATAAACAATGGCTTCATCTTCATCTTTGAGAATATAAAAAACATGAACTTTTTCATTCAAATATGATTAGGATCTTTAGATCTACTTATCGCTATAAAATGTATACCATTTTCTCGGCCAAAGGTAATACAAATTACTTTAAAAAACAACAGAAATACCAGTGAACAGCCGGGTTTTTAAAGGAATGATTTAATTATCTTAATCAGTGTGTTTATTTAATATGTTGTTGTGTTGACTAATTATGTATATAATTTGCTTTTATCTGATAGTTATTTCTTTGCTTCGTCACTAATATCGTCAACGTGTAGTAAAGGACATTGCGTTTTGACAAATACCTATTTTATACACTATTTTTCAAACATGCTTAACACTAAAAATATATAGATCTATAATTCAGGCGTAACGGTTACCGACGGCTAGTTATTCCTTAAAATGCCTAGGTCTTGAAAACAGATGAACTCCACTTGATCTACTACATGTTTTTTTTTGGGCACGATCGGAAAAGATGATGATAGTGCAGTTTGTAAGTTTAGAGTATAGAAGTAAATAATTCACGTAAAACGGGTACCGGTGGATAGTAAATAACAAATAGCTTTTAGCCTTACCTTTTAGTGATATTTGTTGTTTGTTTCTAATAGGTTTTAACACCGTCACGATAATACATTCAATAAATAGAGTTACACCATTTGTTAAATGTGTGTTAGGTCGATTGGAGTAACTCGATTTTAGATTACACAATCAATATATCTAATTCAGTTTTTACTGTATTATGCCAGACCTTAAATATTTCATTTTAGTCTTTGTTAACATTGGAATAGGTTGAATAAGGATTAATCTCACTAAGAAAATGGACATAGGGAAATCTAAATGCACGCAAATGACTCTAAATCATTGCATTTTTGTTAGTTTGGAGCTTCCGCCGAAAAATCATTGTGATACTGGTTCAGATTAAGTAAATCACGGGTTTTCTCTTATGCTTCGACACGCTCGCGTTGCACTAGAGCAGGGGTCTCCAAACTACGGCCCGCGGGCCGGATGCGGCCCGCGAAGTCCTCTCATCCGGCCCGCGGAGGTCTTTTTGTCTAAGGAAAAATCGTTTGTTGGTGATGGCTGAGGAACTTTGCCCAGAGAAATCAAAGGCCTGGAAGAAACTGGCCCCCGAACTGAAATTTGATAGTTAATGCGGCCCTCGGTCTAAAAAGTTTGGAGACCCCTGCACTAGAGGCATATACATATCCACACCAAAGCGACTCATACACAAGGTGTGTGATGAAAGAATATCCAGACCACCCTAAACCTAATCCATAGCACGTGCTGCCACCACTCCTTCGCAACATGGGCGCTAAGCTAATAACTATTATTTTTTTTTTAAATCTATGTTAAGTACATTTCGGTATAACATTTCCGATATCTGGTTTGCTCCTTACACTACTGATTAGAAGTATTATCATCTAGTTTTAAATCGAAGTAGTTTCTACACCCCTAAATGTCATTACCATCTAAATTGTTTGTTGCCACGTATACAAAATAGAAAATACATACATGTAAACGTACTTTATTTGAATTTTATTGATGACTAAGCTTGTTTACACCAACCATTAGGAATCCCCCACGTTTTGATTAACATAAATATAAAGCGTGTCTGGACAGAAACATCACAACTTTATGTCTTAAACCATTTTCTTGAAAGCAGTAATTTAACTTTAAAATGTATAGTTTGATTTCATTTTAGTTGTTACTTTTCTATAATTAATTATTTTTCATATAATTGTTATAACCAATGTGAAAATAATTGAAAACTAAAATGTGTAATACATGTATTTACAGATTTTTAGATAAAGAAAAATTATTTGAGTATATGGAATATTATTATTGTTTTTATGAATTAAATATATCACGTTTAGAAACATAGAACTATTAGTTTTTGTGTAAGAAATGTCAAAAGTAAATGATATTTCTTGCAGCTCATAAAAATGAAGACTGTAGTTCTCGTTCTTCTGGTATGTCTCGCGAGTCTCGTAGCTGTTTCAGAAGGGTAAGTTATCTTAAAGTTTCTTCTTTAAATATGATTTTTAACACAATCATTAAACAAAAGAATTTTCAAAGTTTAATCCTTAAGTACCTTACTTTGATACATTTCGTTTACATAAAATTATTAAATTCTCGTGATGTAATAATTGTGAGAAAATATCAAATTTTTACATGTAAATATAGTTTGATTTTATCATCTTGACGGATCACGTATAATCAAAAATCAATATATCCAAAGACGAATTATACAACTAAAATAATTCACGCTTCATGTTTTCTTCTCTCAAAATAGTTGTCATTGTAGAACGTGGAATGGTGCATGCGAAGATAGTGGCGATTGCTGCGACCATTATGTTTGCGACGTGTTGGTTATTTTATTATTAACAAATTTACGTAAACTAAAATAACATTTTTTTTTCATTATTAAATGTACTTAAACTAAAATGATATATTAAATTAAAATACTTAACTGTCTTTTTTTTTTAATTTTGGAGATTGTATTTTTCTGTTATGTGTCAACAGTGCAACTAAACTATTACAAAAATAAAACAATCCTTGCAAAAGGAAAATAAAATTAGCTGCTTAAAACATCGTGTATATTTTGAAGCGGCAATTTACAAAAAGAAAAAAAAATGGCAGCACATTAAAGAAATCTAAACCGTCGAGAAATTAATTTTAATAGTTCAGCCAAGTCAAACAGTATATGAGATATCAGCTGTATAACAACAAAAAGTCATCATTGACGCATTGTCCGTCTATCAATAAGGCTCTCTTAAAATATTCCATTAACAAGACTTAAGTATAGACAGCTAGACTATTAAAGCCAAACGTGCCATACCTAAACAGACAAGGGCAAATATACTATAAACTTATCATAAAAAGATGTTTACATTTAAATCTATATGACCATTACCCATTTATCTATAAATTTCAGCGATGTAATACGAAATAACGCATTATTATGCAAGCCAGTACCGGGATCAAAAAAGTATGATCAAGAAAAATATTTTTTTAAGATTGCTTTTATGTGTGGTTTTTTTTAAGTTTAACCTTTTTTTAAATTTCTGTATACATTTGTTGTGTTGCTTTTTGTTTGTTTTTTTCATAAAAAAGTCATAAATACGTCTCTCCTTTATTATTTTTTTTAAAAATTTTATTTATTAATAATAAAAAAATGAATGCGTTTGCTTGGTACTATCATTGTGTTCATCATAATAATTATGTCTCTGTTTTTTATTACAGGAAATGAATTAAAAGAATACATATCCAGTATAAAAAGGCAGATCCATTACAAAATAAAAATTTGTAATAGACATTTGTTTTGTTTTTCTAATTTATTTGAATTTATCAGTGTGCTAAATTGTTCCGTATGTGCTAAATTAAATTTAACAAACAAATATCCGGTCTTCATTTCAAACATGCTCAAACGATTTTTGTGTCAATTAAAATTTCGCATTACACATGTAAAATATTACTAAACGCATAGTGAATGGTTGTGATTTTTTTTATTACATTCGGGTTTCTATATAATACAATATTCATTGACTTTTAACTAATGTATACAAAAAAACTGATATAGGCCTACATATGACAGTGATAAGTATTTTAGAAATAAAAATGTATTATTGCTTTAAAAAACCCAGCTAAATTGTTTTGATCGCATGCCATGGTATAAAAAACGTTTATACACATTTTATTTAATGTATGAGATTTGTATTTGTTGTATTTGTTAAAAAAAACATTCAGATATTTCACAAACTAATAACGGCAATATTTGCTGATATGTAATGTGTAGGTGACAAATAACGTAAGAGGAGTTTAATTGGTAATTTAAGCTAGGTGAGTTTAAGTGGTACTTCAAGATAGTGGAGTTTAATTGGTACTTTAAGATAGATGAGTTTAATTGGTACTTCAAGATAGGTCAGTTAAAGAGTGTATGTTATAAATAAATATTCTTTAGTAGATTTATTGGATGTAAGCTCTAGTCTAATGCAGGGAGTGTAGATCATACTTTGAATACAGAAGCTATGTCTATACTAGTAAATGATAGTGCAATAATGGAAAACTATATTTAATGAGTTTTTATTGATTTATTTTAAACTAATTTAAAATAAATGACATGCTGTATTAAACTAAACTTAAATGTATACCTTACTGCATTGTGACGCACATTTATAAAATGTAGTTTGTGATACGTGATAAAAATGTGGTTAAGTGATACTTATAAATCTGGAGTGTTTGTGATATTAATCAGTAGTGTATAAAATGCCCATGGGATTATACATACATTTTTAGGGATGGTAATGAATATAGATAGTTTGGTGATACACGTGTGAGGGAGTGTAATCACCTTTAAGTAATTGTATGAGGTAATTAGGATTTAAATGAAATGGGATGGCAGGGAATAAAATACTTTGTTTTTGCAAGTGGTTGTTATAGGGAGTGTAATTAATTTAAAACAATTTTATGAAATACGTAGATCTTGTATAAATATACTGATGGGAAATGGTTGTTGTGATTTTAACACAATGTGGGTATGGCAATACATTTCCTCACATTTAAAAAAAATGATCAATTGTTTATTAGTAAAATAATTGGTATGGACTTGTCAAAAATTACATTGTATCTTGGATTATGTTGCTGTGTTTATAATAAAAAACAATGAAACCAGAGAGAGAGAGAGAGAGAGAGAGAGAGAGAGAGAGAGAGAGAGAAAGAGAGAGAGCTGGAGAGGTTAGAGGAAGTAGTGTTCAACTGTTTCTTGTTCATTGCATACAATAATTAGAGCATTGCGTGACTTCCTTCACATTTTTTCCGAGATTCGAACTCGAGATGTTTGGGACAACAGTCTACCACGCAGCCATGCGACGAGTAACGAGATCAATAGAGGAGGCGTGGTTTTCTGTACGTTGGGCTGGCTATATTTCTGTAGTATATGACAGTCATCATTTGCCATGAATATTGAAAATACTGGGGTGATGTGGTTTGCTTTGATTGTTAATATGTGTAGAGGAATAAATAACACAGGTCGAGGTTATGGGAGGGAATGTTCGAAGCTGATGTAGATTTTCTGCAACTGAATTAAGTTAAGCCATGCATAATGAAATGTTACTGTTCTACGTCCCGTAACTCCTACTTCAGCCTTCAGATTTACTTACACATTCTTTGTAAAAAAAAAGTCAATATACAAGGCAGAATTTGTTTTATTGGATTTTTCTCTTCTAGATGTTTCCATGCACCAGGCTAGCAAGCCAAATCTGCTCGGGATTTATGGCTTTGCAGTCACTCGCTATCACTTGGGACCGCGCAGCCCCCAAACAAACATGACAAACTGCCTAATACGTTATACAATATGCTGACGTTTAAACACAATCCAGTTGACAATACAACACACAAATGTATTCATTTAAAATGTGTTTTTAATCAAATGATCAAACACAAAAAACACGAACAGTGGTTTGATAGTTCGGTTCTCTCTAACATACTTTACTTGTTAGTTTGACGATAGCATTGTGAAAGTGCTGAATCTCTAGAAAAGAAAAAAAATTAAAACGATTAATTAACCTGATTAAAAATTCGCACTTTTCCCATTTCTCGACATTTTGTCGGTCAAGCCGCAGTGGTATTATGCGACGGTGTGAAAACTTTCGGTCAAGCCGCAATGGTATTATGCGATTGTGTAGAAAAAAAAATCTGGTTCATTTGTCGTCGATTCTATGGGGACCTATAATTAATGTGAGTCATTTGAAGTCATTTGAAGGTTTGTCAAACTGCTATGACCTTTTATAAACTGTCGCAAAAACAGTAACGTTTGAACAATGGTTGTCGAGCAAAACAGCTATGATATAGTTTTTCAGCAACCCTATTAATGCCAAGTTACCCCCGAACGATGATATTAAATAAACTGTCTACACAACAATACTTTTATTCACCAAGAAAAATGTGTTTCTATTTTCTGTGAATTCAAATGCTTAATTTTATAGTAATATTTATAATTCTTTTTTATAAAGAATATATGTATAAATTATTTTAAAAAATAAAAAAAATGTATTACTGATGTATTAAGCAAAATGTGTGTTCGCAACATTGCCAGTCTGCATAACATTTTTCACCACTTTCTTTACAACAGCTGTTTGATAGAGAAGACAAAAAAACCCATTAAAATAGTTTATTTATATAATAAGATAGCAAATTGTTACTTACAAAAGCAACTTACTTTACTAGTTATAACAACTTCTGAATTTTGTTTACGATGATAAATAATTTCACTATCTTGAAAAATTTCAAAAACTCAAGAAAACCCAACAATTTTTGTTAGCAAACTGTTCATTATATATATATATATATATATACATATATATATATATATATATATATATATATATATATATATATATATATATAATATTTAAATTAAATGTAACATATTACATAATTATATTATTTCAGCATTATTTGTTAGACTTTATTTACCTACCTTTCTGTTACATTAATAAAATTGGAGAGACACACTAAAAGTAGCAGAACAACGACCTTCATTTTAAACAGCTGCAATAAAACAATAATAAGCAAAAATTACTATTGCATAGAAAATATATACGTAGTAATAAATTAAATATCATCCATACAAAAATATATTATAAAGATTACTTACTGCGTACTATTGCTAACAAAACACGGTGTTTTATTGATAAAAATCCCGTTGTATAGACACCGTATATGCACATTTTATTAAAGGTGGGGGATTTATATTGGCTGTTGATGTTAAAGAAACGGTCAGATATATTCAGCAACTTAATAAACGCAATATTGACAGGTCACACCTATGAGTATAGGCTTTCTAGGTCGTGGGTTGAAGTGATTCTTCAAGGTCACCGAGTGTATGTGGTACTTCTAGGTCGGTGAGTGTAGGTAATGCTAAAAGGTAAGGGTGTGTATGTGGTACTTGTATGTCAATGCGTGAGTGAGATTCTTCAAGGTCAAATAGTGTAAGGGGCACTTGTAGTTAGGGATTGTATGTGACTTTGCAATTACCGATTCGATTGATTTATCGATTATAGAAGCTCATTGTTCACATAGTGTATTGTACTTTGTGAAACGATGTGGACACCACATTGCATTCTAAGATCATTTGTCCATGATATTATTTGTCCTGAGATATGTCGACTGAAATCCTCTGTCATGGAACAATTATACGCACAATAATTGAGGATAATAAACTTAAACTAACGTTTTTTTTATACATCAAGCCCAGTAGCACCTGGATTGTAATGTTAACAGAGCTTCAAAAACTTTTATTTAAGAAATATTGCATCAGTTTTAGAAAACAAAGTACACGCTTCAAAAATCGCATTGCCAAAATCATCTTATAATATAGCGTCACCTTACAGCAACGTACTAGTGCTTTAAATCAAACAAATGCAGTTCCAATTATCACGCGAGATAGCTAAATCAACGATTATGTCTGGGTTATCAAACCAGGCTGATTTCTATTAGCTGGTTCAAAAAAGCTCAGACATAGATCCTGCTTTAAAAAAATGCACGTGTAATGTCTAGATTGTGTTGTTGATATGTAGCGTAAGGTTGTGTAAATGAGGTATGTCAGGTAGTGTATATGGTACTCTCAGAGAGGGCGTGGTTTTCTTCCAGTCAGACGAATTAGTCTTTGTATAGAAAACAGACTTTTACCAGTGTTTGCCCCCCCCCCAATTTAGTCCGCCCCCTACGCGAAAATATAATGTGCCCCCACCCCCCACCCCCCACCACCGAAAAAAAAGAATGGAATAAACATTACTTCCAGCTTAGAGTGAGCACATACCATGAGTGAGTGGAGGTCACACTACCAGTTGAGAGTGTAGGTGCTACATTGTGTGGGTGGTTGAGATTATCTCAGTTAGTGTTTAAATAATACGGTGTTTAAGTGTAGGTAATACAGATTAAAAGTCAATGTGATTTAGCTGTTTAGGAGTGGGGGTGATATTCCAAATGTAAACTACTAGTTTATCTGCATCTTTTTGTAATAATTGATTTTTTAACAACCGATCTCCCACCAGCGGTCATAAATAAATTAGAAATAAATAACACGGTTACAGGTATTTAGCGTCAACCTTAGTGATACCTGATATTAAGTTAGTCTTAGTCACATCAAGAGATTAGGCGATTTTAATTATCTAAAGCTATTACATATTGCATTCATCACTAAATCCATTAAATTATGGCTAATCGCTAAAGCTATCTGATCAGGCACTAATACATATGTATGCTAATTTGTTCACGAGTTATGCAGATAATCAATCGTGCTATTAACCAAAATATGGGCTGGTCACATTCAATGACCTGATATTGAATAGGAGGAAATGCGTATTAACAGAGTATTAGTATGTTTCAATTACCTATTTTTCTCAAAGTATTGCAGTGTACACCTAATGATGAGTTAAATCCCAGCTCTAATTTCGATCCAGTGTAAAGATGTCTATATCTGTACTCACGTGCTACACGTCACCCAATGTAAATCGGCATGCCTGTAAATGAAATAACTGTGCCGATATTTTAACAGATTGTACAGATTTACAACTGTACACGTGTAATATTAGTATAAGAAACGTTGGTGTACACAGCGGAGGGTGTGCAGCCTTAAAGTGTCGAAGTTTTGAAAAATAATTGACTATTATGTATTACAACGATGTATATGCGTCTATCTATCTAAATATGTAGCTATACATTCATAAAACAGTAAAATTCCACTGTAAAGACATAACGATCAAAATTGGGTATATGCAGGATAGTTCATGTTTCTTGTCCTCGGCTTATAAAGGGACGGTGTGGTCAGCTCTATGCTTAGCCGACTATACTTTACCAACGTGAGTCAGGTACCTATCAAACTATGTGTGGACTCGGGGACGTCGTACAGTCACACGCTTAGACCGTAATCGAACTCCAGGACTTCAGTAAACTTGTCGAGTGCTCTATCACTCCACCACGCAATCCTATTGTATATCCAATACACGTTTTCAAATAACTTTACCGCCAGTGTCAACTCAGCTATGGCGGTTGGTTTCTTTTTCTTCGTTTTTTTTTTTGACACCACGCTGTCGAAGGGTTGCTTCAAGAATGTCATCACAAATGATCTCAGGACAAATGATCTCAGAACAAATGATCTCAGGACAAATGATCTCAGGAAAAATGATCTCAGGACAAATGATCTCAGGACAAATGATCTTAGGACAAATGATCTCAGGACAAATGATCTCAGGACAAATGATCTCAGGACAAATGATCTCAGGACACATGATCTCAGGACAAATGATCTCAGGACAAATGATCTCAGGACAAATGATCTCAGGACACATGATCTCAGGACAAATTATCTCAGGACTAATTTTTTCAGGACTAATTATCTCAGGGCAAATGATCTCAAGACAGATGATCTCAGGACAAATGATGCCATTGAAAAATTACCTCAGACAAAATATCCGTTATATATTGTTCGTTACAAATTTTGTCCTTAAAATCATTGTCCTGAGATAACTTGTCCTCACACCCCGTCAGGTCATTACTAAAATTCATGCGACTGTATGTTTAATCTGTCCTCACTAAACTTTGTAGGTTTTGTAAAAGATATAGTTTTTTTACAGCCGTTATCTAAGGTCTAAATGTTGTTCTATCGTAGGTCTATCTATTATGAAATATAAGATTTAATGAAGAAAACGTGTCCGATCAAAAACCCCCTGGACAAAAAACCCCTGGACATAAACCCCCCGACATAAACCCCCTGGACAAAAACCCCCCGCGACATAAACCCCCTGGACAAAAATCCGCCGCGATATAAACCCCCGGGATAATAACCCCCTGACTGAGGTTTATATAAAGAAAAAAATAACGATGATGTGAACCAAGAAATTTTTTAAAATTACATTAAATTAATTTAATTTTTTTACGACTAAGAAAATAGTTTCTACCTAAAAAATGCTTTTCGAAATCAAGGAGTGACCTTAGTTGTATTTGATCAAAGATCGGGCACCGACAACACCTTAGATATAGGTCATCCACATGTGGGAGCCGCGCGGATCAAAGCAACACATTTTTAACAATTCAAAAGATGTGAGGGATTCACCGGCGGAAGCTTGGTTCATATCCACCTTGGCATACAGAACCATGGTATAAATATAAAATCAAATTTATTTCTCGACAAATCGTGTATTTTCTGGAATGGAGTTCGTTCAATCCAATAAAGGAAATTTAAAGGTGATTTTTGAAGGCTATGTTTATGTCAAGCAAAAAGATCTGGCGAACAGCGTTGTGTCATTTGAGTGTTCCAAAAGACGCAACAAGGCAGAATGTAAAGCAAAAATAAAGATTCATGGTGAACAGCTTGTTGGACGATGTAATGAACATTCGCATGGACCAGATCCATCTCAACTGGAAGTGTGTAAAGTAGTGCAGCAGATGAAACAACTGGGAGAAGAAACGGAAGCAACACCCCAGCAGATCATCACTCAGCCCAATACTACGATTACTGAAGATGCCAAAGCCAAGCTGCCCTCGATTCCACAATACGGCGTAACATCAGGCGTCAACGTCAAACGCTAAAACACCCACTGTCTGATCCAAGAAGTTTTCAGTCGCAAATGGGAGGTTGCCACCCAAATATTTGGAAATTTATTGACTTTATTAAAAAGGAACAATCTCTCCAATAGGGTTATTGTACATAGATTTTAATTCAGGTCACTGTTTACCAAAACAGAAAAAAAAATATATTGATAGCAGCTCTCGAATTTTAACTGTTGTTAAAAATGTTAATGAGTCCACCATTATTGAGTATTTGCGAGGCATCGCTCACAATCTGTCTTTTTAAAGTTATAATAAAAATAAAAGTTTTTTCCTAATGTTTGTTTTGTATTTTTTTTTTATTTTGTTTCTCATCATCTTTGGTTTTTTTCCTTATATAAACCTCAATTGGGGGGTTTTTGTCCAGGGGGCTTATATCGCGGGGGGTTTTTGTCCAGGGGCTTTATATCGCGGGGGGTTTTTGTCCAGGGGGTTTATGTCCAGGGGGTTTTTGACCGGGAGCCGAAGAAAACAATATATTTTTTCCTAATTTATTTCATACGTGAATTAATGTATTGCCTTAAATAATTCAGTTACAAACCCAGTAGTTTATGGTTTTTGTTATTTTTTAATATATTTTTTGTCGACAATAAATGATTTGTTAACAGTTATTGCCTTGATCAATCCAATGATTAATTTGTTCATATTCTTGAACTGAAAGATTTTTCAAACTTGTCCTAATGAAAAATCTTGGAACCTAATGGTAATAGAAAATTATTTGCAGGTAGTTCATTTTTGTGAGAAACTATTTTTTTTGAAAAATGACGGTTTTAATGTATCTAGGTACTAAGATGCTTTAAATAATCGTCTATTTGTTTCACTACAGAGACAAGACGAGAGTAGAATGTTTATTCTTTATTCCGGTGTTGTCGTGCTTACAGTGTTTCGCTAATTCTGCACCAGCTGTAAATATAGCTCACACACTAGGAACTAGTGACTTGGATACGTTACTTAGAAAGAAAAAAAAAAAAAAAAAAAAAAAAAAAAAAAACTAACGATTATGCTTGATATAACAATTGAAGTAGCTTCTAATTATTCTGTAACTTACACACAAGAAATTGGTAGTATAAACACGAATAATATAATGTAGCTGACATTCAAATGTATACATTTACATATATTCTAAAAATATTAATATAAACATACGAACTATCCAATACTTAAGAAACAAAAGTAACAATACATAT